GGCGGCGCCTCCAGGCTGAGGCCGAGGGGGTTGGAGTGCAGGGTGGGAGGAGTTGCGGGCTCTGGGGTTGGAACTGACTGCTTAGGAAGGAGTACTGTGGATAGGGGTCCGGGGGTCATAGTGGATCACAAGCTAAATATGAATCAACAGTGTAACACTGTTGGGGAAAAAAAACCAAACATCATGAGAAGTAATTCTTCTGCTCTACTGCACACTGATTAGGCCTCAACTGGAGTATTGTGTCCAGTTCTGGGTGCCACATTTCAGGAAAGATGAGGACAAATTGGAAAAAGTCCAGAGAAGAGCAACAAAAATGATTAAAGGTCTAGAAAACATGACCTATTAGGAGGGAAGATTGTTTAGTCTGGAAAAGAGAAGACTGAGAGGGGACATGATAACAGTTTTCAAGTACCTAAAAGGTTGTTACAAGGAGGAGGGAGGCAAGTTGTTCTCATTAACCTCTGAGGATAGGACAAGAAGCAAAGGGCTTAAATTGCAGCAAGGGGGGTTTAGGTTGAACTTCCTAACTGTCAGGGTGGTTAAGCACTGGAATAAATTGCCTAGGAAGGTTGTGGAATCTCCTTCATTGGAGATTTTTAAGAACAGGTTAGACAAATACCTGCCAGGGATGGTCTAGATAATACTTAGTCCTCCCATGAGTGCAGGGGACTAGACTAGATGACCTCTCAAGGTCCCTTCAGGTCCTATGATTTTGTGATTCTATGAGGGGTTTGGGGTGCAGAAGGGGGCTCTGGTCTGGAGCACCATGTATAAAAGTTAGGCACTGACAAAATCACTATGATCTTCAAAGTCCAAATTAGGTGCCTAAACTCCTATTTAAAAAAAAAAAAAGGAAAAAAGAACAAGGTGAGAGAGGGCCCTGGGGTACATCTACACAGTCCATGGCTCTGAGCCTCCCAGGCTGGGTCAACAAACTGGCACTTGCATTAGTGCTCGAAAACAGCTGTGTAGGCAGCACGTTGAAGTTGGGGGGACTTGAAGCAGAGGGGTCCCACATCTCAGGGGAGTGTCCTAAGTCCTGGGATAAGAGTTATGAGGGAGCTCCTCCTCTCTCCCTCTCTTCTTAGCTTCCCCCTGCCCCCAGGTGTTTTGTGTGAACTTGCCTGCAAGGCCTGATTCAGGGCTCCAGGGCCTCAGGGTGGGAGCTGCAGCACCGTTGCCTGCCCCAGCGTATGGGAGGCTGCTGTAGGCACTAGCCAACCTGAGATGGGGGTTGGCAGCTGGGTAGGGGGGAGGCTCCAGGGTCCCAGAAGTGGCGGGACTTTGGCCTGAAGGGGTGGGACTGGGGCTAGCCTCCCCCAGCCAGAGGGTCACGAGCCGCCCATGGCCCCACCCATGACTTAGGTGGCCGAATGCCCGTCTTTCCCGAGTTTATGAATCACTCTGGGACTTAGCCTGGATGCCAGGAGGGAGACAGAAGAGCAGGTGCCGAGAGCTCAAACCATAGGTGCTGAGGGAACTTTTATTACAACAGCATAGGCCCTGAGTCAGGAGTGCCGGAGCCTGTGCAGAAGTGGGGGCGCCACCGGCACCAGAACCCTGGCTCCATCCCTTGCCCCTCCTCCTCCCCCTGAGGTACCACCCACGCTGGAAGCCAGAGCTGGGCAGTGGTAAGAGCCACCCTGAGAGTCTGGGCTTCTGTGGGGAGTCCCAGACACTCTGTTACCTGCACAAAATTCTCTGTTACTCACACACTCTAGGGACACCCACTGGTTCCTAGGGCTCAGGCGTAACCTTATACTCCGCGGGTGTGCGGGGTCTTTTACCAGTGAAAGAGCCTTACACAGTAATATTCTACTTAACCTCTATTTATTAACAATCACCAAAACAGATTGTACACGCGAAGCATACAATGCTCACCACTCCCAATAAGACAGATAAACTTTTCTTGATGGCTAGTCAGGATCAGGTCCATCTGGGGGACTCCAGTTTCTGCACAGGGTCATTGGCAGAGTGTTGAGGTCTGGCAGGTCTGATCTTTGGGGCTGTGTCCTGGAGTTGGTTCCCAAAGACCTTCCTTTTGGACCCCAATTTATATAGTGAAACTTGAGTCCTGCTTAGCTATACCTTAACCCAGTGGTCCCCAACCTTTCTGTTGCAATAGCATATTCATGTTCCCAGAAGAGTGTGGTGGATGCCGGACAACCAGCCGCCAAAATGCCACAGAGAAGCGGCGTCATCAAGAAGCGTCGCTGCCGAAACGCTGCCGAGAAGCAGCTTGCTTCTTGGCATTGCCACATTTCGGCGGCTGCTTGTCTGGCGGCCACGCTCCTTGGCAGTGGGTTGTCCGGTGGAAGCGCTCCCTTGTCAGTAGGCAGGTGCACATAAATGCCCCGGCAGGCGCCATGGTGCCTGCGGGCACCGCGTTGGGGATCACTGCCTTAACCAATCATTATACTAAAATGTTACTAACCAATCCTTACATATTGTAATGTAATTCTCTAACCAATTATATTCCACCACCTTCATTGATTTACACCTAGAAAAATTAATTATAAAACAGACAGAGACTATCAGAGAACCAGACAGAGATCATACAGACAAACAATGGGGAAATGGGGACCATAAAGACAAAACAATAAAGAAATGAGGATTTCACAACCACAACTACTGATAAGTGATTTCTTGTCAGACAGGATGCTACCAAACTAAGTTTTCTTCAACCATCTTAAGATCTGTTTCCTTATCTGGTGATAGTGGGGGCCATTAGGACAGGGTCTCCTTCTTAACAGCCTGTTATTAACATTTTTTTAATGTAATTTAGCTAGAATGAGAGGATGTGACTTCCTCCTTCTCCGCTAATGGCTGCAGCTCTTCTAATCTGGCTGCAGACGAAGACCTTAGGCTTTAGGCCTTACAATATGGCTACAGAAAAAGCCTTATCCTTACAACTCCACTGCCCTGGGAAGGCCTCCAAGGTGCCAAGAGCAGCCCTTGACCTTTGTCCCTGCACCTCAGGGCAGGTGGAGGATATGGGGCTCCCCACAGCAGCCCAGGCTCCCTGGCAGCTCTTACCACAACCCGGCTCTGCCTTCCAGCCTGGCCAGGGGACAGGACCTCAAGGGGAAGAGGAGGAACAGTGGGCAGGGCATGATCAGCTCCTCCACTGCGAATCGCAGCCCCTGCCTCTGCTGCTTCCTGCCTTCCCAAGGCTACTAGGCCCATATTAAAAAGTGGAGAGACCCCTGGATCTGGCACCACTGCACTGAGTGAGTTTAGGCACCTATAGGATTCATTAGGAATTTTCTGCATTGAAGTGCTTCTGAAACTGAGACTTAAGCATGTTAAACAGGGACTTTGGGACCCAACTGATTGTGTGTATCCAGGGTAACATTGTTATCCCATGGACAAGTTCACATTGCCTTGCATTTTTTGTGGCCACAGAGCTATGGAAGAGAGGATAGCAGGGGTGATTTATGGCCCTGTGCTTAGGTAAGGTTTGATGACATGCCTGTGAGAGAGGCAATGTAACATATTGTGAGACAGATTGTTCTCTGCCGTGTGAAAAGCCTCATTTTCATGAGCAAATCTGTGGACATGGTTAACCCAGGGAAATTATTTTTCATCACTATTTTTGAACAAAATTATTTTTGTTTCTGTGACAGTGTACCCCATAAGGCTTTATGGGGGGGATGCTTATAAATGTCTGTACAACATAACTGGAATATGTTTTGTGCTGCCTGTGCCATGTAATATATCTCCATAAAGGTTATGGTCTACTATATCTATTCATCCTATCTGTACACATACATCATTTTCTACTTTAGGTTAAGAGTATGGGCTGTATACTTGCTTGGTTTCTAAGTAAGCTTTGGGAGGCATTTCATCAGTTTCTTTAGGAAGGAATTTGCAAGGTTAAGTACCTAATCAGGAAGTACTTGGGGAACAATGCATCTTGGAATGCTCCAATCCACATAAGAAGTCTTCCTGGAGAAGATACCATGTGGACAATGGCTTTGGCCTGTAAAGACTGAGTCATGCAGGGACATGTGACTTGCCCAGGTGACTCCAGAACTCCATCTTGGAGCTGGACTTTGCATAGGAGGGAGGAGAGGGGTCTCCACCCACAAGAAAGAGTCTATTTAAACCTGTGGGAGACCCCTCCATTTTGTCTTCAGCTGGCTAAAGAAGGAGCCTCTCCACCTCCCCAGGATACTTCAAGGAAACTGGAACAAAGGACAGTAACTACAGGGGGTGTGAGTGATTGCTGGACCCAGGCTAAAAGGAGATTAGCCTGTAAAAGGGAGCATTCTGGAACTGGTGAGGAACTTATCTGTATTTAGTTTGATTAGACATAGATTTGTGCATTTTATTTTATTTTACTTGGTGACTTACTTTGTTCTGTCTGTTACTACTTGGAACCACTTAAATCCTACTTTCTGTATTTAATAAAATCACTTTTTATTTAGTAATTTACTCAGAGTATGTATTAATACCTGGGGGAGCAAACAACTGTGCATATCTCTCTATCAGTGTTATAGAGGGCGAACAATTTATGAGTTTGCCCTGCATAAGCTTTATGCAGGGTAAAACGGATTGATTTGGGTTTAGACCCCATTGGGAGTTGGGCATCTGAGTGCTAAGGACAAGCACACTTCTGTGAGCTGTTTTCGGGTAAACTTGCAGCTTAGGGACAAGTGATTCAGACCCTGAGTCTGTGTTGGAGCAGACGGGAGTGTCTGGCTCAGCAAGACAGGGTGCTGGAGTCCTGAGCTGGTAGGGAAAACAGGAGCAGGAGTAGTCTTAGTACATCAGGTGGCAGCTCCCAAGTGGGTTTCTGTGGTCCAACCCGTCACAGTTTCATTTTTACAATTTTATTTTTTAATGAATCAACTGAAAAGAATGTCTTTCATAAAACAAATGGAATGGAATAAAAACTAACATTTTATTTATTTATTTGTATTTTTCCACTATCTACAAAACAATTTATGATCTGGAGCAGAAGCAGAGAGAACAGAAGCCCAGAGATCCCAGCAGCCATGGCCTCAGGGACTCCTGTACGGGAAATCCAAGAGGAAACCAACTGTTCCATCTGCCTGGAATATCTGACGGACCCAGTCACCCTACAGTGCGGGCACAACTTCTGCCGGGTCTGCATCACTCAGTACTGTGAGACATGGGAAGAGCTGGACTCTGACCCCTTGTGCTGTCCCAGCTGCAGAGCCCGAATCCGGAAAGGGGCTCTCCGAAAAAACTATCAGCTAGCAAATATAGTGGAAAAAATCAAACAACTGGATTTCAAACCAGGAAATGAGAATCTGTGTGAGAGACATGGGAAACCCCTGGATCTGTTCTGTGAAGAGGACGGGGAAGCCGTGTGTGTGGTTTGTTGGAGATCCTCGGAGCACAAATCTCACACAGTGCTTCTCATGGAGGAGGCTGCCCAGAAATACAAGGTAGGAAACACTGTGGATCCGGGTTAATTCAATTCTTTCTTTTTCAGATTCAGTCTCTCAGAGCCACAGAATCTCCTAATTTCCCAGATTTTCTCCTTGATCTCTGGATCCACCTAAATCTCTCCCCTGCAGTCTCCTTCCTCTGGGCAGGTGCAGGGAGCCCTGGCCACTGATGGCAGGCACCCAGCCTGTCATTAGGGAGACATGGGCACTAGAGCTCCATGTGAGGCACTTTCCTCACACACAGGACTGAAGCCAGATGTGGCTGTGGTGCTGCCAGGCCAGGCATGGAAGGCATGAGGTGCGCTCACCACACCCCTGACAGCATGGGCAGCGGGTATCAGAGGCAGGGGAAGGCAATGCCTTCCCAAACTGCCAGGTGTAGCCCCGCCCACACTCCGTCCTCAGGCACCTCCCTGCTTCCGCCACGTCTCCCGAATCCTCAGTCTCCTGAGGCTGCCTGGGCTTTAGGCTGGGGCAGGCTGGGGTCGCGCGCCATCCCTGTGCTCCGGGGTCATGGGGCACTGGGGCCACATTCTGCCCACTTAGCGGGTGGGTGGGAGGTTGGGGGTGCTCAAGGACTGGGGTCTTGCCCCCATAGAAACAGCTGAGTTTAGAGGCTGCACAGGGGGCAGGAGGGAAGAGGGTGTGCGGGGAACACCAGGAGGCTCTGAAACTGTTCTATGAAGAGGATCTAACTTCAATCTGTCGGGTTTTCCTTCTGTCCTGGGCTCACAGCTCACACAGTGGTTCCGGGTGTACAAGATACAGAGTTGCTGTTCAGTATAATGGGTAATTACTTTGAATTTTAATTACAGGTTAATGGCATCACAAGTTGCCTTACACCAGGGCTGCTGACAGACTCGCCAGGCCTCTGGGCAAGGCGGGGGGGCAGCTCTGGGTCTCCGGAAGGGGCAGGGCCTCAGGGAAACGGGGCGGGGCTGGGGCTAGCCTACCCTAGACAGCCCTTCAGCACGGCCCAGGCCGTGCTGCATAGGGCTCCAGCAGCGATTTAAAGGGCCTGGGGCTCCGGCCACCGCTGTTCTTGCAGGAGCAGTGGCGGCTGCCATGAGCCCCAGGCCCTTTTAAATCACCAGGCCCTGGGGCAGCTGCCCCTTTTGCCTCCCCTGTTGGCAGCCCTGCCAGACACAGGTGTAGCTGCATCATTCAGCTGTGTGTAGCCTTCATTGCATGAAAGCGGATATACCCATAGACGATACTCCAGCCTCGCAAGGAAAGCAACAGAGGAAGATTTTAAATTTGTCTGATGGCGGGAAAGTATTTTCTCTGAACAGCTGAATCCTTTTCAAACCCAGCTCCCACCAGTGAACTATGGGACCTTCCTACAGCCCAGAGGCTGTTAAATGATCGGTGAGGTTTGATTCTAGATAATGCTGGATTCACAAGAGCTGCAGGACAGTCTATGTGAGAGTGTTGCTTTCAGAGTGCAGAAGGGGGAGTTACAAGTTGTGTCTGTTATTACTGACTGTATCACAGTGTTTAATATTGTTATTTGCATCCCAGAAGCCCCTATAGACCCCAGATGAGATCTGACCTTGATTGTGGGGGGCCCTACACAAAACCCTGAGCCATTTACAGTCTAACTGGACAAGACAGACAAAGGGTGGGAGAGGAAACTCAGGCACAGTGAGGGGAAGTGACCTTGTCCAAGGTCACTCAGTAGGTCAGTGGCAGAGCTGGGTATAACCCCCACTTTTCCAAGTCCAAGTGCAGTCTCCTATCCCCTAAGCTATGCTTCCTCCCCCTCCCCACCCCCAGCAGCACTGAGCAGTGATGAAGTGTGGCCATTAGGAGGAAAAGACTCCTTGATAAAGGCCCCAGGACCAGCAGGGAGACGAGGTTTCCCACTGGGATTCTGAACTCTCCCTGAGGGGTTAAACTCAGATGCTGCCGGCCTGCACTAGAGGAGATCACTGGGCTAAACGCTGTGTGGGACCCTGAGCACCTTCAGTCCGCACACAAAAGGGCTCCAGACAGTTCAGGTCCATACCAAGTACCACTGGCATTACACTGGACTGTAGCCAAACTAACCCCAGGCTGGAGCTGACCGGTGCCAATCTGACCTGTTCTGTTGTGTACATGGGCAAGGACCAGCCAAAGTGGTTCCATTAGTCCCACCAGGCAGTCTTTTGAAATCTCCCAGAATCCACTGCTTCTGGGATCTTTATGGAGGAATGGGACCGTGGGGTATCTGCCCAGGGGGCATTGCCATGGAAATGGTTTAGGACTGGGGCAAACCCCAACCGTTCTTAAGACAAATCAGCCTGTTTAATTAGGGTGGCCATGGAAGCATCCCCCGAACATAGGACATCCCCACGCCTGCCTGCATGGGCCCACCTCCAACTGTGTCAGTTGGCCTACCTGGACCCACCACCTCCTTTGTCAGCATACCCCCACCTGCATCATTCTGCATCAAAGTGCCATCCCCCACTCCTGCCCCCACCCTCACAGGTGTCCTCCTGCATCCTCAGTTTCCTCCTGTCTCTTTTTCACCAGACAAAGCCACATCCAGGCACCTGGTGGCTTCTGGGATTTGTATCATTTTGTTCATTAAACTGTCTCAAACACAGGTTTATTGATTCACACCCATGTGACTCCAGTGTCCTGTTATGTGCTGTATCACTAATCAATTCATAAATACAAATAAAGCTTGGTAATAATTGAGATCTCACTCTAATTACTAAAATACCTGAACCTGATTTTGTAACAAGTCAGACTATGACACACTCCCAGTCTGCATTAATAAGGTTTCATCTTCTTGGTGGTCCTGATGTCACAAAGCAATTCACCAACAATCATCTTGGGTTTTGAGTGGAAAAACACCCAGCTCCACACCCCTCTCAACCATCTAAATGAAACCTCTCAAATCCTTTATGGTTCTTCAGGAAAAAATCCAGGCCCATTTGAAGACTCGGCGGGAAGAGAGAGAAAAGCTTCTGGAATTTAAAATGACTGGAGAGAGAAAAAGCCAGGAGTATCTGGTAGGTGCCTGTTCTTATAAATTGGCGGGGACTGGCACTGGGAGGTCCATTTGGAGGCAGATTCCTATATGGCCTTGGTGAACATGGACTTGTGTGTGTTTCTCCATGATCACAGATTGCTGGGTTAGATTCATGTGTAGACAAGCCCTAAGCTTCCATTTCTTTTGATGAGTTAATATCTAGCCCTTGTGGCTTTCAGAGAAATCCCCCAAGTGAACAGAATGTCACCTGTGAGGTGCTGTCCACTGTGTCTGGTCATTCTGTGCATTGTTAACATATTTGTTCTTTTTTCTTCCCTGGCATCTGTGTCAGTGTAGTACTGAGTCCTGCCTCCTGCTGCTCTGGGTTTGAATTCACAGAGACCATGAATAACAATATGCTGACCATAACAGACATGGAACATCCCTTTCAGAGGAATACAGGGGCCAAAAAGGAAGGTGTGAGAGTTCTGAGCCTAGTACACACAGGCATAGGTGCAGACTTCACCTCTAGCCAGGGGGTGCTCAATCCCCCACTCTGCCCCCGGTCTGTTATACCAATAACATAAAAACTAGCAGGATTTTTTTAAAGGGGATACAGCAAAATGCCACGTTTATTGTGAATACAGAAAGAATAATAGTAAGCAGTCAGTTATAGCTATAACATTCCATTCAATTTCACATTCATTCACACATTCATTCATACACACACAGGTTCTGCAAGGTTGTTATCATAGTTACCAGCCTTAGAGTTGCTTGTGCCAAGCCACTAGCCAGGTGGTTTGGACACGAGGATGGAGCCGAGTCTTGTCAGAGGCGCATCCGATGCTCCTGGAGGGTGGTTGCAGAACCAGACTCAAAGTTCTCAGTCATCAGAGTCTGTCTTTATAGGAATTCATCCTCATTCAAATCTATAAGGTTTGCTTTGTCATGCTGCTCTTACGTTTGAAGTGATAATCAATCACTGTTCTCAGGTTTGAAATGATAGTCCATCATGCAGATGGCACAGCAGTGACAGCTTGTTGTTATCTTGTTCTTCAGTTTTTCGGCCCCTCCGTCCTTGGGGTAGTTGGGGGTGGATTCCAGTTTGCCCTACAGGGTCATCCAGTTATCTCCATCCTGCGCATTCTTCAGCCGAATGTTCCTGGGTAGTTATTATTTATTAGGCTGGCATTTCAACCTTGTATTACTCATTCAAACATACATTTACAATCACACCCTATTTCACTTAACAACTATTCTCAAATCATTGGGGCATGACAGACTCCAATGAATCTATCCATGTGTCACAGGGTCTGCACAGGTTCCCTCCCTCTCGTCCCTGTGCTCTGTGCTTAGGCTGATCAAGAAAAGGGTCCCAACACCTCTTTCAGGTGTTTCACCTGTGTCTCTTTATTTACAGTGCTTAGTGCAATCCCAATTCGCCCAACACCGATCCCCACACTGACCTTTCCCTGGGTCTTCTCACCCTTGAGGCTTCCTGCAGCCGGTAGAGACAGAACTGCCGTCCCCCTCTCCTCTCTCCTGGCTAACCTCCTGTCTAAGCCTTTCCCTGGCCTTATATCTCCTCCCAGTCACCAGCCCAGCTGGTTCCACTTGACTCAGCTGATTCCCCTGAGCCTGCCCTCGTTAGAGCCTGCAGCTGAGCTCCTTGCTGAGTGTCTGGGCTCATAGGCACCAACTTTCTCCGGTGCTGGTGGGTGCCTGTGCCCCCCGCCCCTGGCCCGAATCCACCCCATCCCTGCCCCCATTCCAACCCCATCCCCAAAGTCCCCGCCCTAACTCTGCCCCTATTGGATCCCTTCCCCAAATCCCCGCCCTGGCCCCGCTGAGCACCCACCAATTTTTTTCCATGGGTGCTCCAGCCCCAGAGCACCCACGGAGGCAGTGCCTATGTCTGGGCTCCCGTACCCAGCCGCTCTGCCGGGAAGCCAGGGGGGGAGCCACCCCTTTGGAAGGGCATCCAAGGGGTTTATACCTCTGCCCTGCCACACCATGCCACTTGTCACATATGAAAAGAAAACAAGCAAGGTAGGAATGTAAAAGTGGAGGAAAAACAAATCTTGTTCCTGAGTTTAGAAAAAACATTTGTAACATGTTGTTATCTTAAGTATCAGGGGCTAGCCGTGTTAGTCTGTATCTACAAAAACAACAGGGAGTCTGGTGGCACCTTAAAGACTAACAGATTTATTTGGGCATAAGCTTTCGTGAGTAAAAACCTCACTTCATGTTGTTATCTTATCACTTTTAGGACAAACTCTTTGTCTCGGAAGGTTTTTCTACAATTAGCACAGACCTTGCAAACTGGCAGGCCTGTTTCAATTAGCACAAACTCAGCAGGTTGAGAGAGCAGGCTGAGACACATATTTCTTTCTAATAGTCAGGCCAAATCCGGGGTCTGTTCTGGAATCATTCTTTCTTACATTTTCCACAACATAAATGTATTAATTATTATTTTTAATCCAACAGGCCTTGCTCCCATTCCACTTCTTTCCCCAAGACTCTGCCCCTGCCCAGCCTCTTCCTGCCCCGCTCCGCCATCGCCCTGTCCACATGCTATCCCTTCCCACAAGTCCTTGCCCCAGCCCCACCTTGCCACATTCCTGCTCTTTCCCCTGCCCCCTAGAGCATCCCAAACAACACAAAACAGCTGTTTCAGGGCAGGTGGGAAGCACTGGGCGGGAGTGGGAGGAGTTGGTCAGTGGGGGTGAAGGGGGCAGAGGGGGAACTTGGCTGCTGGTGGGTGCTGAGCATCTGCTAATTTTCCCCCGTGGGTGCTCCAGTCCCAGAGCACCCACAGTGTCGGCACCAATGCACACAGGGTATAGTCAGTTGTCAGAAATTTTCAAAGAAATTCTCTCTGTTGCACACTCGCCACTCCATAAAAGGACCCCAGGCGCCATCCA